TTTGATTCGTACTCGAGGATAGATGTAGATGTCTATGGGCCACAGCAACCACCTACCATCAGGTGGACTGTGTGCTCATTTGTCACCCTATCCTATAAAAAAAAATGAGACAGTCTATGAGGGATACCTACTCGTGTGTTCAGGCAGCGACAAATTTGGTCATTGTAAATGTATTTTAATTAGGTGCTTATTTAGAAGATATCATGAGAAAACCTTGCATGTCCGATGACCAAAAGACATTTGAACTCCGCCAACAAACACTGGAGTAGTATGACGGAATAAATGCTCTTTAGAAACGAGACGAGGGCTATGCGCAGCTGTGGGACGTTTATAGATTGTTACTTATATACGTGGTAATTTTATGTTTTGATGCAATTTCAGTAAAACTGCACAAAAAATATAGAATCGATACTTTTCGTACTCTTTATTTTTCCTTATCCGTTACTGGATATCGTTTTTTTTTAAATGCACTAACTGGCATGCTAACTTCAAAGACTTACCCATATTCACGTTGCCTAAGCAGACTTATACTATAACTATACTATCACACTAGTAATGCTCCGTCCCATGACAAGTTTATTGGATTGGGTTAGACTTTCCGGAATGGATACATCGAAATTTTGGTTGCCAGAGCCTCGTTAATTAAATATCAGTGTACCTACCATAAGCGGGATTGACAGTTAGTGTAAGCAATTTTTAATTTTTTCCTTTTACTTAAAAAAGGTATACCGGTGATATTTCAACGCTATTAAAACTCCCGTTAATCACGCCAATTAAGCTGAAACGCTTGCGCTACGATTAAAGTCATGGCGGAAGTCGATAGCGGATTTAAACCCACGACTGTATCGCAATCCGTACCCTATATCATTAAGTTACTGTCGTCTTATCATATATATATATATATAATAAAAATCGCGGCAAGTACAGCTTCATTACCGACGATGTCGGATGATGCATCCTACGGGACGTCATTGTAGTGCGGACTTTTCTATCCAGGGCGTTTAGTTCAGTCTGACTCCACCTAAGTATGCCAAAGGTATACATGAGGACAGGCATGACCCAGCCGTTATATGCGTGTGTCTTATTCACACCGGACAAAAGGCTGTTAAGCACTTTGGTCAAGCGTGCATAAAACACGTCGCAAACTGACTGTTTCATACCAGCCTCATCGATACCGATGTTCTGTGACATACCCAGGTATTGGTATGTTTCAGCCTCGGAAAGGGTCCTTAAGTTGACGGGCATAGATAAGTCCATGCCCTCAGATTTAGCAACCCTTCCCCTTTCAACATGGAGGACTGCACACTTATCCGTCCCCAGCTCCATTCCAATAGAATTGCTAAATTCACAAGTGATGTTTAGCAATTGCATAACATGGGGGCGACTGGAGGCGAATAACTTGAGGTCATCCATATAAAAAGGGTGGGTCACTTTCCGAAGCTGAAATCCCCTCCCGGAGCCCTCTAGTAAAGTACTGACAGGGTTCAGAGAGAGGCAAAACCAGATTGGACTCAGACAATCGCCCTGGAAGATACCCCTTCTTATCCTTATGTAGTTCTCCTCAGCTATCATCCGCACGCCCAGATAGCAAAGAATCGTACTCTACTGCCCCATGCACTGCTCGAGGAAGTCTCCAACTGTACAGTTAATCTTGTACAGCTGGAGGACTCTCTTTAGCCATGTATGGGGCACCGAGTCGAATGCCTTTCTGTAGTCTATCCAGGCGGCGGAGAAGTTCCGACGGTTGCGTTTCACCACTTTGCCAATGACCGCGTCAATGAGGAGTAGTTCCTTGGTTCCACGACCACCGCCCCGACATCCATTTTGAGCGCGTGACATCACCTGATTTAGCTCCAGGTGACGAGTGATTCTCGCGCTCAAAATGGATGTCAGTGTCTTATATACGGTGGGTAGACACGTGATGGTGCGGTATTTGCTTGGGTCTGTGGTATCCCGATCTTTAGGAACCAAGTGAGTGATTCCAGTACTGAAGAGGCTCGGGAGCGACTTCTGATCGAGAGCCTCTTGAAACTGTCGGGCGAGCACAGAGTAACACACTACGAACCCCTTCAGCCAGTAATATAGCCCCGGACTTTTCCAGTTCGGGGCCCTGAGGACCGCCTCAGCCACGTCTTTAGGCGTTATGGTGACGGGGTCCATAGGCATAACACTTGCACTCTGGCTCGCCACAACTTCTATCCAAGGGCCCTCGCTGTGGTTTACGGGCTCTGACCACAGGCCACGCCAAAATGCGACAGTGTCAGCCTGATCCGGTCATGGGCCCGCTCCACATACCTCTGGTCGCTCTAATTTTTTATATAGCCTCTTCTGATCAATCTGGAAGAGATGATTATGGTTGAACCGCCTTGACCCCTCGCTAAATCGTCGAATCTGCTTCCCCCAAGCAGCGATTTTTTGCTTCAGGTTATCTATGCGCTCCGTTAGTTTCTGCGTGATATCCGGCAGGGACAAACTAATATTTGTCCCAGCAAACGCCAACTAACGGTGCGCACAACTCTCGGTCTATTATTACCTGACCTGAAGCTTGTCAGTCTGCCGATAAGGGCCCTTGCCTTTGCGATACTTTTTTCCAGGCTGGGATGGCGCTACTTTGTTGAGTAGCACGTCCAGCCATGGGAAGTTAGGCGCCAAAGCATGGTGTACTTGCCGCGAAAGCATGGTGGGCGTGGCTTTCTGAGCGCGCTCACCATGCATAATCGCGAAGTGTGCAGCCTCCGTGAATACTTTCTGGCGAGATCGGATGATCCGTTCTATAATGACGTCATTTCTAGTGATAAAGGGCTTACCCCTCTACCCTTAGCCAACGAGCAATGGCAGGACCCAGCAGTGCTTAGTATTTCCGACCGGGAGACCGTATGGAAGGAGAAGGAGCTCCACGGGAGGTTCTACAAGGCTCTACATGAGCCTTTCGTAGACACAGTAGCCTCCCTCCACTGGCTACGCTTTGGTGACCTCTTCGGGGGAAACCGAGGGTTTTGTCTGTGCAATACAAGATCAGGTTATTAAGACCAATAACTATCGGAGATACATCCTAAAGGATGGCACCGTCGACATCTGTCGAGCTTGTCGCCATCCCGGTGAGTCACTTAGGCATGTCATCTCCGGTTGTTCGGCGCTTTCTAACTCTGAGTACTTGCACAGACACAACCTAGTAGCCAGAATTCTTCACCAAGAGCTTGCTCTGAAATACGGTCTCGTGGATCGTAAATTGTCGTATTACAAGTACTTGCCAGAAGCCGTGCTCGAAAATGATCGCGCCAGGCTCTTCTGGGACCGGGCCATCATCACAGACAGGACTATTCTTGCAAATAAGCCTGATATTGTGCTGATGGACCGGGCACAGTCAAGGATATTTTTGGTCGACATTACCATTCCGTATGACGAGAGTCTCGTGAAAGTCGAAACAGATAAACGAACAAAATATCTGGACCTGGCTCACGAGGTGACCAACATGTGGGGTGGTCTGCCGACCGAAATTATTTCTGTAGTCGTTTCTGCAAACGGGCTAATCCCAGTCAGCCTCTCGGGTCATCTGAGGCTGCTGGGACTACGTCGGCGGACCGCTCCAGGCTCAAATGCAGTAGGCGGTGCTCCTCGATACCGCCCGCATCTTCCGCCGGTTTCTTTCCCTTTCCCCCTAACCCTCGGCCGTTTGATCTCCCCTGTCGAGGGCCTCCATCTGGTTGGGCTTTTATTTATTTATATATTTTATATTTATTTAATTTTATTTATGTATATTTATCTTTTCATTTCTATTTATAATTATATATTTATAGAACCCAACCAGATGAGAAAACTATATTGATACCCCCCAATAATAATAAGGCTAAAAATAACGATTTCATTGAATCAAATGACTTTAAAAATTAACCATAGGATATCTAATAACCTCAGTGTATCTGTAATAAGTTATGAGGTAAAAATGCTTTTTAAACATTTTTTTTAAACATTGTAAATAAAAAATTATAACTAAAACATATAAAATACAATTATTGGCTTTATATAAATACATATGTACTCGTATAACTGTTAAAAACATAATAAACCTAGGTAGAACAGTGTCGTGTTCCCTGCTCCATCTCAGTGTCTAATCCGAAACTGGCGTCCAAGTTTAATTTACTTTATACATTGAGCGGTAAGCTTCTCAATCCGCAAAGCTTATGGCATGTAACTTGGCTGCTTATTTATATATTTTCCTTTATTATGTTGGCGGGTTAAGTGCTCCGTCACTCGCCGGCTTAAGTGGTTGTGATATACAAGTATACGTCCCTATAGCAAAGAAATGAGTGAACATTTTCAGGCACATTTACATTTTCCATTTCGTTTTAGTATGAAAAGCTAACTTTAATGTCAGAATTGACATTGAATACTATTTTGAACTGATTTTTCCTCTTGTCAGAAATAAAATATGTTTATATGTACTGAATTTACACAGCGTTATGTTTCAGCATTAAAATGATTGCTTTTTTTATAGGAAAAGGGTGACAAGCGAGCACACAGTCCACCTGATGGTAAGTGGTTGCTGTGGCCCATAGACATCTACATCTATCCTCGTTTGCGAATCAAAATGAAGATGCGTTGTCAGCCTTGAGTACTAAGATGGAATGCCTCTTTTACAGTAAAAAGGGTCTCCGGTTCTCTACACTCACCATACGAAACACAGCAGCATTAAGCTGCTATTTGACGCTGGTATTCTGTGAGAGCGTGGTCCTTCCCCGGAGGCGACCCATTCGTGCTACAACTATACAATTAATATGGCTGAATCATGGCTCTACCACGTAAGACTTATGCTTATGTGTTGTATAAGTAATTTACAAACAGTAATTTCAAATAATAAGGTTTAATAAATAGCTTCTAAGGCTTGCGAGTAATCGGAAACAATAATTCCGGAAAGTTTCAGAGAAATTTATTTAGGTAGCTTTGCTACCTAAATAAATTTCTGCACGGAATTTTGTTCATGTGATTTATACACGTTCATAATGCAAGCTTTTGTAAGTCGTTAAATAGAAACTGTTATTTTAACCTGTTACATTTAGCACATTTTCGAAACTTTATGAAAACTCTGCTTTCAATATTTATTGTTATACGAAAAACGAAGTATTTTAAAGCATATGAATGTGATAGCGAATTTTCTAAAATAATTTTTATTTAGATTGAGTTGTTACATATTAAAATTACTTTTGTGTTTCATTATATTACCAAAATTATTTTTGTTTATTTTATTGCGATATTTGCGTAAATAGTGTTTATTGGGTATTATGAACGGACGATTGCAATCAAAAGGATATGTAGGTGTTTTTTATAGGATAGAGTGATAAACGAGCACACAGTGCACCTGATGGTAAGTGGTTGCTGCGGCCCATAGACATCTACATCTATCCTTGATTACAAATCAAAATGCATATGCGTTGTCACCCGTGAGGACTAAGATGGAATGACTCGTTTCCAGTAAAAAGGGTCTCCGGTTCTCTACACTCACCATACGAAACACAGCAGCATTATGCTACTATTTCACGCTGGTATTCTGTGAGAGCGTGGTCCTTCCCCGGTCGAGCCGACCCATTCGTGCTACAACTATACTACTACTATAACTGCAGCATGGCTCTACCACGTATAAAAACTACACAGGTGTAGAGTCACAGTTGTTATTTGGGAACTCATACTCGACGTTTATACTTTGTAGTTAGAGAATTGCAAGGGACGCTACAGGTTGTGCGGTGTGCCACCGGTTGCCCCTGCAAGTTATTAACGGTGCCGGAGTAACTCCTGCAAAGCCGGCGCCCACCCCACCTCACGCCATTAAAGCAAGATTTGCGTGTTGTTTATCTGAAAATCTAGTTTATTAATTATTTTCATAAATGTCTATTGTTTTTGCAACTAAATGTAAATGAAAAGTATAGAAAGCCAAACTAAGAGCGTATGGTTGGATTTGTGAAGCTTATATTTGCAATACATTGTCATATTCTTTGCAAATTTTCTATAAACAGAATTTCACATTACAGGTTACACCGAGGAGCAGCCTTCCACGCAGTTCACGGCACAGCTTCCAAGCGAGGTGAGCCCGGCCACAGGCCCCGGCCCCGCCTCTCAGCCGTCGCCTCAGCCTGTTTCCTACGCCCTTCTGCATCTCTCTGACTCGACTGAACCGTCTTTTCTCCAAGTACAGCTCCAATCTTCGCCTGTCTCCCCTCCTCCGCCACCGGCGAGCGGCAAGTCAATATCGATGTGTTACACAAGTACGGGCGCCATTCTGCCCTTGCCACCGAAAAAGAAAGATATTTATCGCCCTTACTGCCTCGGAGATCGCGCATTCCTACACCGTGCTGAAGAGGACCTTAATGCGGCCCACGCTATTCTGGACTTAAGTCAACATGCGGTATTTCTGACTACGCCGCCCCGTTCCGATCCTGCGCCCCCAGAACCACCGCCGCAACCCCCGGAACCTCCTGTTCAGGAACAACCCGAACGTCCTGAACGACCACGGGAAACTGTCGCTTACACATACGATGCGTTTTTCGTAAGCGATGGTCGTTCCAAGCGTCGCAACTTCGCCAACGCACCCGTCGAGTGTGCCCAGCAACCCGAACATAAATCAAAGTACACATGCAATGAGTGCGGCAAACGTTACGCAACATCATCGAACCTTTCACGGCATAAACAAACTCACCGCAGTTTGGACTCGGTGGCGGCGAAGCGCTGCGGCGAATGCGGAAAAGCCTACGTATCGATGCCCGCGCTGGCGATGCACGTGCTCACGCATCAACTGTCGCACGTATGCGGCGTTTGTGGTAAGTTGTTCTCACGCCCTTGGCTACTTCAGGGGCATCTCCGTTCGCATACGGGTGAGAAACCGTACGGATGTGCTCACTGCGGAAAAGCATTTGCCGATCGCTCGAATCTGCGTGCGCATATGCAGACGCATTCATCTGACAAGAACTTCGAATGTTTGCGCTGTCACAAGACCTTTGCACTGAAGAGCTACCTCAATAAGCACCAAGAATCGGCATGCGTGCGAGACGACGACTCTCCGCTACCCGAGCCGTCCGCCTCCACGTCCGATTAACCACGATGTGAGGCGTCGCAGCATGGGACCCTAAATTTAGCCGTGTGGTTTACACATAAACCTTAAGTATTATAATGAATTTAGTTTATTAGCGTAATATTTAAATTTACAATTTTCAATAAGGAGGGCTCGCGACCGGTGTGTGTCACGTCAGCGGGACCACCACCGGCCGCGGCGCCCGCAATCGAGCAACGTTTCGCAAACAACGAATCATGTACGACCCCGTAGTGCCGCGACTGTAGCGACGATAGTCCGTAGCAACAGACGTCCGGATTAAGATAAACATTTAATTATGTATATACTTGTCGATAAATTATACCCTTATATACATAGAATTAATGAGATACGAATGAAACTAATATCTTTTGTAGGTGACTTTTACAACCGCAATGTAGGTTAGAAAGTATTACGATGTAAGTTTAGCGTCGAGATGCGAGAGCCGAGCGCCGAGACTTCGAAGGACGGAGGCGGTGCGCCCGGGCGCGTCGCGTCGTCCGTCTCGGTGAGGAACTTGCCAAAACTGTCCGTCCGAAGCTCCGCAGCGCCTTGCGCGCCGCCACCATACCGCAGTGTGTCGCAGAGTGCCGCAGCGTGACGCAGCGTGACGCAGCATGACGCAGCGTATTCCAGTGTGCCGCATTCACGCTGCACACGTGTCGTCACAGCGTCGTCACAACCTCAGCGCCGTCATTGCACAATCGCGACACAGCGCCCGGCTCCGGCCGCGTCGCCTAGAGACGTTTCTATCAAGTAAATACATTCGAATAATTTACTTTCGATGCCAAATACTCGTAATTACGAATCAAATACGCTAAATATGTCGCAACAGTATAGTATATCATAGCAATATAGTGCGTATCATATTCTGTTTAAATGGTTTTTAAACAATTATCTCGCTAATAATTTAAAAGAAATGATATTTATTTATTAAATTATATAAATATGCATTATAGTTATTTAATACTTGCGTATCGAAAAGTTTGGCATTCATTAGATTATGATTATATTAGCTATAGTCGTAATATTTGAATGACCACACAAGTAGTTAATTCTAGAATTAAGAATTAATATTATCAAAGAATACATTGATAATAATATACTAATAGAAAATAAAATTATATAGTTGCTATGTAATCGTATGCTAAGTATCGAAACGTCCCTAGGTCCGCGACAGTGCCTTAGTGGCGAACATTTGCGCGCCTGTCCTGCCGCTGCCACTCACCTTATTGCGTACGCCGCCTATTCGATGATAGTATTAACCTTAAAAATAAAAATCATTCAAATGTATGTAGTAACAAATTAGTTGCCAATTTTAAAAAATCGGTTGCAAACTAAAGTGAGTCATAAAAGCAATAAAGCGACACAACTAAATCGTTTTAGCCTTGACTTCAAATAAACTTTTTGAAATCGGACGTCAACAGGATATTGTCATTGCTCATTCATTCGTTCACATTTAGAACTGTACTTGTTAACTCCGTTCCGTTTTTTGTTATAAATGACGAATAATATTAAAATTTCTAGAAATTAATATAATTAATAGAATAAAAGAATTAAAGAAACGGATGTCTCTGGCAGCGACAGACGGGTTGCGCCGTATCACTCAGCGAGCACGCCTTTAGTTTGAGCTAGTGTATAGTGAAAAGTCAAACGTAACTGGCAATAAACTAACGTAGATTAAGATAGATTTAGGTATTAGATTAATTGAGAGGAGCACGAGGTGCTCCGTAAGAGATGGGTATTCGAAAAGCAATAATAAAGTAGGCACTATTCAAGTCGCGCACCGCTGTCGAGTAGACGCTGCAGACTTTATCCTATTTAGCCCGTAGATTCCGGTAGTTTCGTAGATCCCAAGTCACGTCTTTCCTGTACAACTTCTTAGTCCCGAAAGTACACTAAACAATTTCCAATTTCTTAGTGATAGGTATAAACATAGCAGGTTTTCGTTTTATGAATCGACACGAGCGTGTTCGATGGTACCGTAAGATGTAGATATAGCCTTACCAGTCAATTTGTCAAATTAATTTGAACCCTGTCAATTAAAATAGGTCATGTTTTGTATAAACAAATGTTCCTCTATTTAAACTTATTTTGTAAACATCTAATGTGGAACCGGTTTAAAAGAAAGTTTCAAATTCAAATGCTATAATTCAATATTTAAATTAGAGATGGGCCAAATATTCGTTTCATATTCGGTATTCGGCATATTCTGCAGCTTTACCGAATATTCGTATTCGGCCGAACATTCTTTAAAGTAGAACACAAAGTGTCCACTGAATTTTAATGTACGAATTGAGTAATGCTCTTTCATAATTTTACTGTTGAAAATATATTTTATTCATGGGTTAAATCTAGTCGTATAGCGTTAAATTTTTGAGGCACTGTAGGTTTATTTCCAATTATGTATAGCAAATAGAAAGCTTTATAAAATGTTTTTGTAATAAAATAAAAAAACATTACATTACATTAATACATTTCACTTTACTTTGGTTGTCAGTTTCTCTAAAATAAGTCCAAGTAGTAGATCTACTGCCACTCATTTTTATCATATAATTATCAATTTTCACTAAGAATAATAAGAACGAAATACTAATTTTCTCACTAAAATAGTCAAACATAAGCATGTGTCGGCAATTTGCTCAGCACTAGATGATGTAATAACATGTCAGGTGTGGCAGGAGAACGAGGGGCAGGGTCCTGCGCTAAGCTCGCGCTAAACGGTAACAAGTTTCAACATAAATTGGTAAGATACAGAGGTGATCCTGCCGAATAATGTTCGGCCGAATATTCGGTTCGGTAGGTTTTACCAACTTTTCGACCGAATATTCGTATTCGGTGAAATACATATTCGGCCCATCTCTAATTTAAATATTTTTTCATTACAGGCAATACAAAAAATTAAATAAATTGGTAGTCAGACTGTACACAGATTGCACAGTTCTACATAAATATATGATCCTTCATTTAATTAACCCTTTACTTAAAGTATTCGTAGTGCCATTTACTAATTACTATAGTAATAATAATCTTACTTTATATTCACATCTAAACAATATAATAGATTTACTAGACATGGTTGCGCGTAATAAGCAATATTATATAAATTATAAGCAATACTATGGTAGAATTTACGTAGCCTATATTAATTTTTATCCTAATATTTAGTAGATTTTAGACGTATTGGTGCTTTGGAGTACTACTTAAAATTGTGTGAAACGAATCTGACATCGAATATTGTATAATATACATTATATTGTGATATTGTTTTTCCAAATTAGATTATTATCTGTTGACGTAACTGAGTAGTGATTTCCCTCAATTATTTAAAAATTAATCTTTCACACGTCTATTAGAATATTAACACTATTGTGTAGAAACTAGCTGATCTATTTACTCCTACGCGTATTCCCTGCGAGTTTATTCCTTAAGATTATGATCTTGAGTAGCATTACCATTATTCGACTTTGGTAGTTTATAAGAAATAAGCTTTTAAAAAGATCTAAGACAAGATATTTTACTCAAATATTTATATTAACGTTATTATAATTGTAGGAGTTATACAGTACGATAGTAAGTAACGATTAATATTAATAAAACCAACTTATTATATACAAACTTAATATAGACTTACATTTAAATGTAAATATTTTCCCGTGTACCAAGTTCCCCTTCTTTACAATTTTTGTAGACGTAGCGATATATACTTACCTATATATCTGAATAAAAGTTATTGTATAGGAAGATCACCGTAATAGTAGTAGATACAAATTTTGTTAATTTTTCAAGTTTAAAACCGCTTTATGGTTGGAGCCAGCATATTTAGTTTTAGATTTTATACTTTCATCTACGGTTTTTGGATGATTAGTTATTAGTCGCGACATTTGGAAGCATACATTAGCACTCATACAGCAAATGACATTTAGATGTATTAATTTTGCTCGGGAGAAATTTGCGACATACATTTCATAAACAACATGGCGTTTTATCGTGATAAATTAATTTAAAAAAATATAAACTAAACGCAAACCTAATTTCGACTTACGGCATTCATAAATAAAATACTCTTATAAAAACTTACCCATTTTACATAAGTATAAAGTTAAAGAATCTTAAGAAATGGTCAAAGTGTAAACAATAAATATAGCATCACCAATGATTGCAGTTGAATTACGCACTCTCGTCCTAAACTACACAAGCTGCATATTGCAATATACATATTTTCAACTTTAAGAGGACTAAAGAGACTTTTCTTGTTTATAAATTTCTCAATATTGTTGTTCTGATAAAACAAAAGTAAAATAAATGTAATGTTTTGGAAACGTACGTCTACCTACAGTAATAAATTTATACATAATATAACACGTTTTAAAATTGACTAAAATATATAAAATGCCTTTTGTTTATTTTTATTCTTACATTGTAATCTGTTTCTGAGCTATTTTTTAATTTCAAGTCAATTTCAAGTTCATTGGTAATTTCTAATTTGTTTAAAATCAATTACTAAATTTGACCCCTAGAGACATACATGGAAGCGAGTGAATAAAAACGCGGTAATAATAAATTTAAAGCAATTTCGGTGATACAAATTCAAAGTAAATTGTCCAACATAGCAATATATAAGCAATAACATTAGGTTTAAAATTATTAGTCGATACGTCATTGTCTAGCAATAACTTGGCTAATTAATAATAATTAATGCTAGCAATGTTATACTGTATGATTAAGTATATTAGAAGGATGAATGTGGCTGGTGATATAAAGCAATACCAACTAAACTCGTGGCTAATTTGCAGACTGCAATAAAGTGATATGTCTGATGTTAATGAGACTACGTTTACGTTACATATATTGAACCTTCGATTGAAAGTGAATACAAATTTTATGTTGGTAATTATTTTACTGCTTCTTTATATATCATTAAATAAGTGATGTGTCAAATAGTCTCGTGTAACGAATACAGTAGCTTTATTCATTTTTTCGCACAAGTAGCTAAGTTAACCGCT